GAAGGAAGCTCCGGGGCCCACAGCTCAGACGTTAGCCTGGAATGGACCTGAAAGGTGCTGGAATCCAACTCTCATTTTATAGGAGAAAGGAAAACTCAGAGAGGCTGAGCGACCGCTGAGTTAAAGGTAGAGCTGGGGCTAGAAACCTGGGTTTTCTGATTCATAAACCATCATGCTACCCATGATAGGAACCAAATCAATTTGGAGTAGAATCCTTTTCCCTCCTCTTTTGTCCAGTCAAGGACATGTACCTCGGTTGTATGCTCCTCCCCGCCCCAGTCCTGGTCCAGACGCATGCAGGAGGTGCTAAATGTTGTCTAATGGTCAAAGAACAGGTTATTATTGATAAACACTACCATTAGAGAGAGTGGGAGAGAGATAGATAGAACAATCAATGAAAGAGAAACATCGGTCATTTATCAGCTGCCTCCTGCACGCCCCCAACTGGAGATCAAGCCTGCAACCCGGGTGTGTGCCCTGACCAGGAATCGAGCCATGACCTCCTGGTTCATAGCTCAACACTCAACCACTGAGCCAGGTCGGCTGGGCCAGAAGCATTTGAAGTAATCAGAATCAAGTGATCCTGGAAAGAGGTGAAGGAGGTAACGGCAGAGGCTGGACTTGGCGGAGCACAGGAAAAGATAAGGTCTTATCTAAGGCAATTAGAGTAAGCAGGCCATGCCAGGCTTTGGTTACTTGTATTACAATGCGTGCTCTGAAACAGCAAGCTTTTTGAAATCCGTGCCCAAATCAGAACCTAGCAGTGAGGACGTCTAACCTCCAAGCAAAAGTTCAGGGAGAGACAAAAGGTATTTTTTATACTTAACTTGGTAGAAAAGAGACAAAAAGGACGGGAACCAAGATGTCAGCTGGGGTCCTCCGAGTCCCATTTCAGGGCCTGGGAAGTCCAAAGCCCACCCTCACCCCCGGGTTTTTGTGAATTGTCCCCAAGGGACTTCTGTTTTCTTGGCCTCCTAGACTTCCGAGATCTTGCTTCCATGTGCAAATTGAGTAGAATTTACTCTAGAGATGGAAGGCAGGGTTTACTTCCCAGCAATAGCAAATAAATGTGATCGGATGGTGGTATCACTGTCTAACACCTTCCCGGTCCCTCTCCCTTACCTCATCTCAGCTTCTGGACCCAAGTGGGCTTTTCTCTCCTCTTTCCTCCCGTCCCCCTGCTCCCCCTCCCCTGCCCTCAACAGAGCAGAAACCACAAATTCCCCAAATCTCTAGCAGAGCAGGTGTCCCCTCCTCTGGAGGGGGTGCCCCATAGTATCCAAGCCCTCAAGGTGTCATCTCCCTCTACAAGCTCGTCAACAGTTCTCCCCCAGGAGACAGCTCCCTCCTCACCCTTCCCAAAGAGGAATTGTGGGGCCAGCTCTTAGGATTTAAAAAATTTTTTAATTTTTTTTTCACACCTTTACACGAGATGGGGAAATCTCTGGAGGTTAATTAAAATGGTATCTGGCTCTACTGTGGTGTCTATATTTTTAAATTGTTTTGTTCTGTATGGAATTTTATCATAACTAATATTTGGGCACTTGTTGATATGTGTAGAATTTTCTATATGTTGTTATTTATTTCAGAGAGAGGAAGGGAGAGGGAGAGGTAGAAACATCAATGATGACAGAGAATCATTGATTGGCTGCCTCTTGCACACCCCCTACTGGGGGTTGAGTCGCAACTCGGACATGTGCCCTGTCCAGGAATGGAACCATGACCTTTTGGTTCATAGGTCGATGCTCAACCACTGAGCCACAGCGGCCCGACGATATGTAGAGAATTTTAATAAACAATGTTCAAAATTATAAAGCATTAGTGAGAAGGTCTAGGCTTTGCGCCCGATGATATGTAGAGAATTTTAATAAACAATGTTGAAAATTATAAAGCATTAGTGAGAAGGTCTAGGCTTTGTTCCCATCTTCCATCAACGATTCACACCAAAAGGTGGTTAAATGGAGCAGCTGCAATGAGGCAGCACTAGTGCTGGAAGCTGGAGAGGAAATCAGGTACCCTTTTAAGGGGGAGGGGGGCTCTGAAAACTCAAATCTATGAAATAATAGACAACATCATAAGCTCACAGCAATACATGTGGACTCGAAACTGTTCCCCTAAGACTGTTTCTCTTGTTAGAGGGAACTCTCATATTTGAAGGCTCTGTCCTGACAGGGTAAAGTGAGGATGGTCCCAGTGGCGTAAAAGCCACAGCCCTGGAAAGATGGCCTAAGGAATATTCTTTGTACTTCTACACTCCTGTGCTTTTTCTCTCTTCCAACCCTTCCATTCACAAAGCTTTAACTTCTCCAAGTATCATATGCCCTTTTCTATTTATGGGGGTGCGGGGCGGGGTGTG